CTTCCCATGGAGCTTTAGAATGAGGAAGCAGATTATTGTTGTGTGGTAATTTAATCTGTTGCATGGGGAAGCTGTTCTATAGTTAGAACAGTTGAGGAAAAGCTACGTGAGAAGGTGAGGAGCTGAGGTACTTCTCAGTAGCAGAGCTCTCCCTTAGCGTGTCTGGGCTCTGGGTTCCACCCCTAACACGAAAAACGAAATTAAAAATTTAAAACGTCAGAAAGGGTTGAGGTACTCGAGATTGGAGACAGCTGCCAATTTTATGACTGAAACAGGACTCAAAGGTTTTGCTCACATGCCTATTCTGAATCTCACATTGAGTTTTCTGCATGTGAAGTGTGCTGGCATTCTTTCTACGGTAGTGTTCTAAAGAACCCACTTCACGATCATTTGCTGTAGATCGTAAGCAAGTGCCCTAACCTCACTGAGCGCCAGGGGTCTGGATCGTGCGAACAGAAACGACGAGAATCTCAAAGGGTAGTTTGATAAAAAGTAGAGTACACACAGTAGAATACGTGGGTAGGTGAATAGAGACACCCAGTCATTGCAACTAGTCAGAAAGAGAGCTCCCTCAGTGGGAAGCAAGCCGGACCCAGGCTACTAGGGAACCACACTGTGGACCAGGCAATGAAACAGGTATAAGAAATAGAAAGCTCCCTTCACTCAGAGTATTGTCACAAAGTGGAGACCTTAGACTCTAGGAAATCTCAACGGATTGCAATGCTAGGGTGCTTTTCTCTGCTAGAACACGTTGTCACTCAAGCATAAATTGGAATGGCTGGAGATTGGCAGTGGCGTTTTGAAGAAAGCTCCTGCAGGACGGCTGTCTGGCCTGGCCCCTGACACTGAACAATTGCTTGACTTTTAGGACAGAGGGTAGTGGCTCCTAGCAATCCCAGAGCAGAAGGCTTTGGGGGCAGGAAGTCAGGAATTCTTTAGAGCCAGGAACCTGGAGAAGCCGTCTGTTTGCCACTCAAGAACCTTGCCTTTCGCTGGCACTTTCCAACAGTTTGTGTCCATTAGTTTCTATCTTGCCCTACCCAAACCAATGGGAGGCCTGGTCCTCTTTGCCTTTGCCTTGCCAGAGAACAGAACCATTCCCTCTCTGGGCCTCTAAAATGAAACGCCACACCAGAGTTATTAGCATAAGGACATAGAGGCCAGAGCAAAGTTCAGGGAGATCCTGATTCTTCTCAGGTGTGTGTGAGGAGGCCCTATTCCCTGGAGCCATCTGCTTCCTCTTAGTCACACACGTGCTTTTTATTTCTGAGGGGAAAAGAGTCCAGGTGCTGTCCTCTGAATTTCACTCCGCTCTGCCTGGGCAGGCTCCTAATTACCTAGGTCTGTAGGAGTGCCAGGAAAAAAGGTCCAGCATCCTCCGCAGCCATAGCAACAAATACAAAGGGCTTGTTATTACACAGTGGTTTCTCTTCTGTCCAAAACACGGCAACTTTTGTCCTCTGTGCTCCTCCAGCTTGTGTCTCCTTTCTTATTCTACACTGGGTGCATTTCCAAGTTGTTTATTTTCCAAACACCCTCACTCTTATACCTTGGGATAGAAGGATTCTATGTTAGTTACTTTTTCCTGTTGCTAAGACAAAATGCCTACCATAAGTGACTGAAAGAAGGGTTTGCTGGGCCTCACAGTTTGAGGGTACAGTCCATCATGGCGGGAAAGGCATGGCGGCAGGAGCACAAGGCAGCTGCTCACAGTCAGGCAGCAGAGACGAATGCTCTGGGGCACAGTGTGCTCTCTCCTGCTTACCCTGTCCTGGCCCCCAGCCCACAAAATGGTGACAACAGAACTTGGAGTTAGTCAGCCCACATCAATCGGTCAAATCTAGAAAGTTCCTCATACAGAGGCCTGCCTCCTAGAGGAGTCTAGATCCTGTTGAGTTGACACCCAGTATTAACTACCGAGTAGCCTCCCCCTGAATCCTCAAGAACTTTTCTCTGACATTTACAATAGTGTGCCCTAGGAACAGAGGTCTCTAGGCAACAAAGATAGCCCAATATATTGCCCTTGGGTTTTGTTTTGAGACATTTTTAGGACTTGTAGAAACTACATCTTGGGAGGGAAGTAAAATGCTGGGAATGTATGAGCATATCCCCAATTGAAAAGATCTCATTATGAAAAAAAATGTTACAATAATGTATTTATCTAGTGGAAGGAAATATTGAGTGAAAGGTAACTTATTCAAGCTATTTTGGTTCTTCAGTGATGGTAAAGCAGTAGCCTGTTCTTCTATATTCTAGTGAAGTCTCTATGACCACAGCCTCAGCAAAGACATTTAGGACTTAAGGTCCCAGCTCTGCTGCTTTTTGCCCAGTAAGCTTGAGCAAGCTACTTAATCCCTTATCCCTCAATTTCTTCCTGCATCCTGTGTTAAAACCCAAAAGGCTCATGTGTGATAGTCAGCTCTCCATTGCATGACAAAATACCTGAAGTAATTAATTTAAAAATTAGAAAGGCTTGTTTTGCCTTCCAGTTTTATAGGTTTCTATCTTTGGTCTGGTGTGGGAGGTCCTTCTGTCTATGTGTTGTTTTTATTGGTTAATGAATAAAGAAACTGACTTGGCCTATAGCAAGGTAGAACTTAGTTAGGTGGGGAAAACTAATCTGAATGCTGGGAGGAAGAAGGCAGAGTCAGAGAGAAGCCATGGAGCCACCACTGGAGACAGACACACTGAAATTTTGCTGATAGGCCACGACCTCATGGTGATGCACAGATTATTGAAGATGGGTTAAACTAAGATGTAAGAGTGAGCCAATAAGAAGCTAGAGCTAATGGGCCAAGCAGTGATTTAAATAATATAGTTTCTGTGTGGTTATTTCAGGGCTGAGCAGTCAGGAACAAACAAACGGCTCCCCTTACAACAGTAGTCACTTGCCCCTGTTGCCATGGAGTCTACATTGAGGCAGCATCATGGTGGTAGCATGAGGCAGAGGAAGTTCATTTAGGCCTTTATCATTCAGAAAGTGGAAAAACAAAAGGAAGAGGCCAGGGTCCATATATCCTCTGAGAGCACTTTCCAAATGACCCAAATACCTCTAACAAGGTCCTACCCTTCAGAGGTTCCATCACTGTCCAGTAGGTAGTTCTTCAGACTGGGGACCGAGCCTTTGACACACAGGCCTTTGGGGGACCGCTTGGGTAGAAACTATAGCACCACTTTGTGCTGTGGTTGTGACACTTGAATGTGACAGGATTTGACCAGCTCTCGCAACAGTACCTCCTGTTACAGGTAAGCACCAAGCGTCTGTGAAATTAAGCTTTCAAGAGAAAAGCTACCAGGGTTATGGCGATGGCTCAATCAGATAAATGCCTGCTTCATAAACGTAATGACCTAAGTTTGGGTCTCCAGCATCCATGTAAAAAGCTGGGAATGGTGGCATATAGCTAATTCAGTGCTGACGGGGTGAAAACAATATGATTCCTGGAGCTTCTTGGCCAGTCAGCCTGGATGAATCAGTGCACTTCAGGTTCAGGGAGCGACCCTCTCTTGAAAAATAATGTGGAGAGTGACCAAGGAAGACACCCAGCATTAACTGATAGCCCCTTTACACATGTGCACACATGTGCGTGCATACCACACACATATATGCACATGAACGAACACACACACACACACACACACACACACAAATGGGTGTCCTGAGAAAATGTGTCTGCACTTTTCATGGGGCCCTTTACATATTCCACTTCCTTCTTCTAAAAGGGAAAAAGGGAAACAAAACAAAACACACAGTTCCACAAAAGACAGCAGGAGCTTTGCCTAACGACAGAGAAAATAGAATGCCCAAAGACTGAACCTCTAAGTGTAGAATTTGTCGCTCCTAGTGAGAGGACTGCTTGGCGGGACAGAGTTGACAGGGTTGGTCAAGAGAGGAGAGGACAGAGGACCTATCTAAAATCCCTCCACCAGGTAGCTGCCTACTGGACCTACCTGAAATGCCTACCCCACAGAACACAAGAAAATATGCTTCCCCAGAGCAAATGCACTCTGAATGGAAACCCACGCATGCCCTGGACTGATTCTTCCAATTACGGAAAAGGCCCCCAAACCTCCTCTGATTGGCACACCACAAAAGCCGCATCCCCGCAATAATGATGATGATAATGGCATCGGTAATGGCCGCGATGCAGCTGTTACTCAGCCTCCTGCATCCTCAGAGCCTCCCGGGGATTGGTGGTGTGCTAAGAATAGTCCTAGCACCAGAATGAACTGCACAAGGTGGGACCCTGCCTGCCAAGCAGACTGCTAAGGGTAGGGGGTGAGAGGAAAGAGGCACAAAACCAGGCCTTTGGGGAATGGGGTGTCTGAGAATCCTGGTGTTTGGACTTTCAAGCGCTGGAATATGGACCAGGCAGAAACTGTGGTCCTCTGACCAAAACTATTATCCAAGCTTGCCTGAGTCTTGACTCCTCATGACCATTTGACCTCAGATCTGAGAGAGAAATCAGCCGCATAGCAGGGAAAGTGTTACACTGTCAAAGTGGGGCTAGCAAAGAACGATGGAAAATATCACAGAAGCCTGGTTGAAGATGATCTCAGGTAGATAGACAGACAGACAGATAGACAGACAGACAGATAGACAGACTAGAGGTTGGTGATGGCTCAGGGCTGAAGGGTGGGAGCTTTACAGAATCAACAGGCATCATGGCTTTGACCATTGTCAAGATCATTGACATCCCTACTGGGTGACTTGAAAAGGGCAGAAATACAGAGGTTGTCTTGTGTTTTAACAACGGTATGCACCAAAATCTAAGACATTTCCATAACCTCAAAAAAATGTTCTCGAGCTCCTTTCCAGGTGACCCCTGAAAGGCAGTCAAGACTCTGCCTGCTGTCGGCACACAGTGGTGTGCTTTAGCCCACTTTCAAATGACATGCAAATGACCTTTCACCCAGCATAACCCCTCAGGGAGCCACGGCTGTGATTTGTACCAGTTTCCTTTCCCACTACTGTGCAGCTTTGCGCTCTATAAATACAGCACAGGTTGCTCATTCACCAAATGCGGTAGCAGCTTCCTGGCGCTGTGGCAGAACACCGACGACAAACAACGTGAAGACCAAAAGGCTACTTTGGCTCCGTACTTCAGAGGGTTCAGCTCCACTGCTTTTAGGCTCTGGTGAGGCGGTCTGTCACGACAGAAGAGCTTGGTGAGCTTACCTCATCGCAGAAAGAAGGAGGGAGGTAGGGAAGGAGGGAGGGAGGGAAAGAGGGAGGGAGAGAGAGTGGGAGAGAGAAAGAGAGAGAGAATACACCCTTTGAAGGCACACTCCTGGTAACACACTTACTTCCACTATGTCCAGCTTCAAAGTGTTCTCCACCTCACACACCTTCCAATAGTACTATCAGCAAGGGAACATTCCAGATCCGAAATATGCCACCTGTTGATGGGCAGTCACTTAGGTGGTTGGCAATTTGGAGCCACGATGAAAAAGGCTGTTAGGAACATTCGTATAAATACGGCTTTTCCTTTCTCTTGAGTAACTCCTTTGGCATGGGAGTACTGAGTGCAGTCTAGTTGTGTGCTTAATTTCCAAAGTATTTCTACAATTTCAGCCTCTTTTCCGTCTGGCTCATCTGCCATATTGTAAATATGAATTCTACCTCATGGTTTTTTGTAGCTGCTTGACCTCCAGTCATCACGCCCACATTCTAATACTCGCTCAGGAGAATGGAGGAAATGGTGTACTTCTTTCGCTTCACTAACAGCTTTTAGAAGCTTCTAGACAATACTCCTTCTAATAAACCATTAGCGAGAAGTTGTGTGATAGTAGCACATCTAGCAGCAAGGGATAACCAACCACCTTGATTTTGGAGATGCAAGTGAAACTGCATCTAAGTGAAACTGGAGGTAGCCTACTGAGGACAGTGGAGTTTGCTCATCTTCAGCGGCACAGACTCAATGGGGATTGGGTATCCCTTAAAATCTATCTCTAGGCCTCTTAAGACGAGGCCATAGCAATTAGGTGGTCAGAACTGGGGCGGAGAGCATATCTGCTTGGCTCATAGAGCTCTCTCATAGAGAGAGCTTGACTCATAGAGCTCAGTGCATGCTTAGTAAATATTAAATCTTACAGGATGTGGAGGGGGAGCAACACATGAGAAACTGCCGAGTCTCACTTCAGAACATCTTCTGGGGTGATTAGGTTCACTGGCAGAGGTGTCGCTCAAGCAACTATCACCAATCCCTGGCTTCTTACGTTGTTTCAAAACATGTCTCAGACACAATTAAATGTGGTTTTGTGAAGGGCGGAGGGAGTCCAGTGGTGCCCTGGGGGAGACCTTCTGGCTTTCTTCTGTGATAGAGAGGACCTGGGAATTTGGGTGTTGGTTGGAGAAGAGGATGTATGTGTGCACAGGAAGAAGTCAGAGCCCCTTTTCCTGTTCAAAATGTGCAATTAGTGTAGTGAGAAGCATCATGTCATCAAAGGCTTGTCCCCTAGACCCAGGTACTGGAGGGGAGAGGGAAGGCAGGAGCGATCAGAGTGTGCTGACTGGGAACTTTGGAGCCAGGCCTGGCTCTGTGCAGCCAGTCACCCCTTCAGCAAATGAGGGCTCATCCGGCTATGTTATTTTATAGTACAAAAGCAGATACGGTCCGCTGCCTCAGCGCTGCCCTGATAATTTTGTTTTCGTGGTGAGTTTGCCATCAGGCTATGACATGCCATTAGGTTTTTATCTATTCTGCCAAGGAGGGGCGATCCTGGCGAGCGAGGATCCGCTTTCCATTAGCCTGTGGCCTGCGGGTGCTGGAAGCTGAGCCAGCCAGTCAGGGAGCCGACACTCTTTTGAATCTGGCTAGCACAGTTCACATCCAGGTTAGGGGAGTTGGGAAGACCCCAGTCAGCATCTTCTTCAACCTCCTTCCCTGCCTGTGAAGAATCCTCAGTCACAGCCAATAGCAGCTTGAGATTTTGCCCTCACTTGCCAACCACCAGGGAACAGAACAACCAAGAAATGCATTGCAGGGCTGGAGATGTGCCTCCGCTGGTAGAATGTTTACCTAGTACACAAGAAGTCCGGTGTTCATCCTCCCTAGCAAGACATAAGGCAGGTGTAGAAGTCTGGAACCCCAGCATCTGGGAAGCAAGAGGATTAAAAGATCAAAGTCATCCTTGGCTATATAGTGAGCTGGAAGCCAGTCTGGGTTACATAAGACCCCATCTTAATGAAGGGAGGAAGGGAGAGAAGGGGGGACAGAAGGAGGGAGGATGGAAAGGGAGGGAGAGAGGAAGGGAAGGGAGGGATGGAGGAAGGAAGGCCTACCAACTGGGGCAGCCCATCCTGCCAGCTTCCGAGAACTTGAGGCAGGTTTCTGTCCTCAGTGGAAGGAGTGGGTAGCAAGGAATTCTGAGGAAGGAACTGTTGTGTGTCGGGGGGGAGGTAGGTCATCCCGGAACCCCTGGTACATTCTAAATCATTCTGCCAAATTTTTCATGAACCAGAAAGAATCAAGCAAGCGTGCAAGTTGCAAGCCATAGGGAGTATGGTTCTGCAGCAGGGTCCACCCCACCCCACCCCCACATTTTTAACAATGCAGTAGCTAATTGTTGGTGTCAGGAAGAGCCCCAGCTGTTTGTGGTTCTGGCCTAGGCCTCTCTGTCGAGGATTGTCTCAGCCAACTCAAGTAGTCCTGCCCAGATTTCCATGTTGCCTTTAACAGACACAGGGCCTTTACTCAGAGTGGCCTGCTGGCCTGAGGGAAAGGCTGAGATAGAGGGTCTGGGGACAGGAACTGAACTTCTCTGCCTTCCCTCCAGCCTCGCTCATCCCCCTCCATGCTCAAGATCCAGCCATCACTGGGTACGATTTATAAGCACGGAAATCCCCTTAATCCCTGAGATATGTGGTGTATTTCACCCATGAATTCTGAGAGCTGCGTCCTCCCTCTCCACACCAACTGAATCCTAACACGAGCATAGAATATTGATTCCAGGCCTGGGGAATTTGAAACCCCACATTCCTGTGAAATACTTCCAACCATGGTGAATCGGCACACCACCTTAGCATGCCCCAGCAGCTTGGATACATGAGACCCTCTAACCACCTCAGGAGACTGCTAAGCACTCATATCTCCCTCATGTGACTTTCCATCCCCCTCAAGAGCTGAGTGCCCTTCTGTCTTGTATTGCATTGGATCCCGGTGTCTGCCTGACTTTTTAAAATCCCTCTGCTGCTGGCAAAACCACAGCCAGGCAGCTGTCTTCCAAATACTACCAGCCATTAGCTGGGAGCAGGGTGAATTACGTTTGCCACTGGCACCAGGTACATTGAGTACAGAGACTCGCAGAAGCAGGTTGCCTCATATTTGGGGAGTTCCGACTCCAAACTCTGCCCAGGGCCGTCTCAGGACCACCAGCCTCAGCCTCAAGAGATGCTGTGACAGCCCTGCACCCAGTATCACAGCCACAGTAACTGCCACATTTCCTCGGTAGAGACGGGAGCGAAGCCCAGAGCTATTGGGTGTATTATATAGGATCACACAGCTTTTGAGTGCTCAGGTTTTTGTCTGCTTTTTATTACATCACACTGGAAAAGTTGCAGTCTGGTGCCCGCATGGTCTGAACTGCATGGCACAATAGTCTCACCAGGCGCAGGCACTCAACTTTTAACCAGGATACAAGTGTCGCTTAGCTATGTCAAATCACCTGGACAAAGACACATAGCCACAGCATTAGGAGACTGGACTCTGAACTCCAGAGTGCTGTGGGCATTTAATGAGCCCTCATAACCCACCATGTTTGTGCTAAGCTTTGAGGACACCCAGTTGACTAAGGTACAGTTATTACCATCAAAAGACCTGGCTGTCATATGGGACAGATCGCAGGACATGTGACTACGTATAATCCAGAGTATATGATACAAACTTACTTGTGTGGCAGGTGTCATGGGAGCCCAGGGATGAAGTGAGTCACTCCTGGAGGAGGTGACAGTTAGGTTTCTATTAGTCACTTGTGTGTTACTGTAATAACACCTGACACAGGCTTCTTATGAAATGAATGAGGTTGATTTGGGCTCACAGTTCAAGAGATTCAAGTTCACTGGGTTTGGGCATCAGACAAGTGTGGCACATCATACCAGGAATGTGTGTTGGAACGAATGTGCACAACATCATCCAGAAAGCAAGGAGCGAGGAAGAGGCTAGGATCTATTCAGGCCTTTGAGTGCATGCTCCACTGACCTAAGGGCCTCCCAGCAGGCTCCACCTCATAAAAAGTCCACAGTGGCTCCCAATATCACAGCCCTGGGGACAGAGCTCTTCCACCTGGGGACACCACCCATGCTCGAGCCGTAGCAAAGCCAGTCCACGTTGATGAGGAGAAAAGGAGAGGCCAGTATCAAGCAGAATTCCCAGAAACCCCTGCCCCATGCTACGTGCTTCATAGCTGGGGCGCTCTACCAAAGTCCCACCAAGTTTCAGCTGTGCTACGTTGCAACCCGTCTTCAATCACAGTCCTTTCTCATGGTCATGGAGTTGGCATCTGTACAAGGAGTGCACGTGTATATGCAAATGCCGTATACACATGCACATGCAGATGTGGAGGTCAAAGGTCAACTTTGGGTGCCATTCCTCAGGTACTAACACCTTGTTTTGAGACACGGTCTCTCATTAGAACTTGGAGCTCATCAAGTAGGTAACATTGGTTGACCAGCTAGTTCTAGAAATCTCCAACACTCTAGTCCTGGGATCAGAAGCCTGCACCAGCACATCTGGCTTTCTATGTGGGTACATGCTTGTATAGCAAGAACTTTGCTGACTGTTTTAGTTCCACAGGCTATGTTCTACAGAACATTCTGAAGCCATGAAAATGGCCCAGAGCTGCCCATCCAGTAGAGTGGTTGCAAGTGCCTGGCCTTGCTGAGCATTTGGAATGTGACCCATGAGATTTGAGGAGTTTGTCATTCAGACAATTCTTAATTTGTGCTTCCATTTACAAATGGGCTTTCATATAGGCTAAGATAGGACTATACCATTACCCTAGCCAAGGACTGGGCTTCCATATAGGCTAAGATAAGACTATACCATTACCCTAGCCAAGGACTGGCAGAGCAGCAGTGAAAGGTCCCCAGTATCAATAAGCAGAGGACTGGAAGCACCTACACAGTCTTCCAAGGGTACCCTCATACTCATTCTGCTAGCTCAAAAATGGTTTGGCAACTTCCAGCTTCATGGGAACCCATTGGACCAGGTCCTAATTGCTTCCCCGTCACCCACTGGCCCTATGGTCTCGTCTTAAGAAGCCTAGAGATAGATCTTAAGAGATACCTAATCCTCATTGCCCACTCTTTTCAAAGGTGTCTCACTCCTGCAAGCTTGTCACCATGGAAATGAGTCTATGCCGCTGAAGATGAGCAAGAGTCCACTTACAGTATGAGCATTTCTCTCAGCTCTGGAGTGCGGAGATGGGGTGCACAGCTGCTTCAAGTACCCCAGGATGAGGACTCTGGGACAGCATTGTCTCTGTGGATTCCTTCTTTTTTTAAAAAAAAACTTTATCAGCATATATTAATCATGTATACTAATGGGTTTCATGATGGCATTTTATACACGTACATAATGGATTCTGAACCTGTGTTCTCTCTCTTGTTCCCATCCCTCCCTGTTGATCTCCTGCCTTTTCCTAACCGTGCCCCTTTCTACTTTCATGTATTTCTGACCCAATTAATTTGATTAATGTTGTTTACAAGAACATGGGTGAGGAGTTATTTTCTGAAGGCATGGACATATTATCAATGGTTAACCCACTGGAGAAAATTTCTCCCCTCCGCCAGCATTCATTACTTCTCCGTAGGTACTTAGGGAGGAGTAGTTGCGAGTTCTGCCCACTTAACCATTGGTAACTGTTCATACATCTATAGGGAAAGCTGGAGAATTGTGATCCCCTTCTACCCCACCCCCATGGAGTATTGATGGGAGTGTGTAATGCTTTGAGTAAGAATGGCCTTCATAGGTTCATGTGTTTGAATATTCGCTCCTCTGTTGGTGGTACTGTTTGGTAAGGATTAGGAGGTGTGGCTTTGTTGGAGGAGGTATGTCATTAGTGAGAATATTGAGGTCTCAAAAGACACACCATTCTCAATTTCTCTCTACCTTACGGTTGTGTTTGAAAATGTAAGCTCTCAGCTACTGCTCCAGCACCATGCCTCCCCACCTGCTACCATGCCCCCACCATGGTGGTCATGTACTTCAACTCTCTGAGACTATGCCCCAAATAAACTTTCCTCTGTAAAGTTCTGCGGTCATGGTGTCATAGCACAGCAATAGAAAAATCTCTCCCACCTCCACGATGGACTGTTGATAGGCTCTTAAAATTTCATCCCCATATTGACAAGAGTAGGGGACGTAGAACAAGCAGTTCCAACAGCTGTGACTTTTTTTTATCCCTACGTGCTCACAGGGGGAGCCAGAGAACAAGAAGTATGAAAGAAGGGAGAGGTGCAGAACCACTGCCATCCTTTCTTTTAAAAAATAATTTTACAAAAGCATTCTGAGAATGATTCTTCATCACTCAGTATGAAAATGCTTAAGATCTAGTGCTGAGATGAGTTTCGTTATCACTAGGGGGACCTGGAGCAAGTGGGAGCAGTAAGCCATACATAATACCATGAAAAGAAACCAGGTCTCTGGTAGCATTGATTGTACCACTGGATCAGCCTTTGCCTGCAGCCCACATTTCTACTCAACTTTTTTTTCAGTTGCATGAATCACAAAATCTAGCTTAAGTTGGTTTTCTGTCATTTAGAATCAGAAACATTCCCAACAAATGTATCTTGCAAACATGAATTATAGCGCAGAGAACTAAGTGGATTTCAGTACCTTCTTAGATATATTGAAACTGACATACTCTAACAATCTTTTCTTTTGGACTCTACAAAGACTGCCTCCTTTCTATTGAGAGTCATATCTTGGTTGTTTCATAATTCAGTGGATTCATTTATAACCTCCATGCAGATGCAAATTTGGTCTGTTTTGCTCATTTCGACTTCCCTTGGCATTTAAAACAGTACCTAACCCTTCAGTAGTCTATAAATATTTAGTGGCTACCTGCTTGCTTATTACCTGAGTGAATAAATGAATGAACAAAAAAACAAATGAATGAATGAATCTGAACACAGATACAGTGACCTTCCCCAAATGGGAAGAAAGATGGATAAATGGATGGATGGATGGACAGATGAGTGGACAGATGGAAGATAGATAGATAGATAGATAGATAGATAGATAGATAGATAGATAGAAAACACCACCCCTAGGAAGATGCCTGTAAATATTCTTAACTTATGAGGAAGCGGGGAAGAGCCAGTGTTCCATATGACCCTTGTCTTGTTTGAGCTGGACACAGCTTACATTATTTATTGTGATCCTACCTTGTTACACATGAATACCTTACAACCCCGACCCCACACACAGGATGCCTAGAAGTGGGAATGACTGCTGTCTGTTTCCAGACGAGAAAACTGAAGTACAGAGATTTAAACAACTTCTTGAAGGCGACAATAGTTGTGTGACAGAAAACAGCTTGGTTGAAGGAGCCCTATGATAGGGACTCTCTTGCTCACTTGGCAGTGTTGAGAGCAATAATCTAAGAGGTTAAGAGAGTGTGGCTCTGGATATATCCATGAAGACATTTCCAGGCCGGATCCACTTGGGGAGAAGGGCCCTTCTGAACGGAGGTGGCAGCATCAGTGACATGGGGTCCCTGGGTGGAATAATAGGGTGAAAGGAAAAAAGCAGAAGGCAGGCATTTTCTCTCTGCTGCTTGTTTGCCATGATGTGAACTACTTCCTGCTGTCCTCACACAATTGCCCGAGCCCTCTGGAACCATAAGCCAAATAAATCCCTCCTTAAGTTGTTCCTGTCCGGTATTTTTGTCCTGTCCATGCAATGGGTAACTAGTACAAATGCTGATACAGAAACCACCTCCAAGAAGTCTTAAAGCGGTCAGTCTCTGAAAATTCTAGAGCTAAAGCTGTGCGTACCATATGTTTTTATTCAACTCCACTTTAGACACTGACATTTTGTGACCTTGCCCTGCAAAACTAGAGGAGAACAGCTTTCCCCATACAAATCAGACTTTGTGTGGCTTGTTGGGAAGTGAGTGAGCCACAGTAGCTGTAGCTGTGGTGTCACGGCCCTTGGAAACTCTGTGTTGATATTGTGTACTCAAAGGGGTATTATGCACATCTGCGTCTTCCACATAGATGACCTCAGAAGTTTAAGATTATTTTTAGGGATCCCGGTCCTGATGCAATGTAGGCGTAAGAGTAAAACAAATGAGAGGACTTTATGGTCATATCCCAACTTCCAGCTGGGCCCTGAACATGGTCACGATTTAAGCAGAGCCTACGGTGTTCCTCCTGTGAATGGCGACAGCAGGACCCTGGGTATGGGTGCCTGTGGAAGCTGACCACACACAGCATGCATCGGCCTACACTCTAGGAAGGGCTTGTGTGCTGGCCGGGGGGGGGGCAATCTTTCTGTACACTGTGAACTTGTATCACTCTCATTGGCTAGTAAAAAAATCTGTTTGGGGGGGCTGGAGAGACGGCTCAGAGGTTAAGAGCATTGCCTGCTCTTCCAAAGGTCCTGAGTTCAATTCCCAGCAACCACATGGTGGCTCACAACCATCTGTAATGGGGTCTGGTGTCCCCTTCTGGCCTGCAGGCATACATACAAACAAAATATTGTATACATAATAAATAAATAAATATTTTTAAAAAATCTGTTTGGTCTATAGCAAGGCAGGATAAAGTTAGGTGGGAAAGCCAAACGGAGGACTGGAATGAAGAAGGGTGGAACTGGAAGAGATGCAAGCCAGTTGCTAGGGAAGCAAGATGCCAGAGGACAGGTAAAGCCATGAGTCAAAAGAAAATACCTAAATTAATAGAAATGGGTTAATTTAAATGAAAAGATCTGGTTAGTAATAAGCCTGAGCTATTTGCTGAGCAGATAGATAGATAGATAGATAGATAGATAGATAGATAGATAGATAGATAGATAGATAGATAGAT